TGTGAGAATTTTGTGATAGTGGGAGAAAATTTCATGTTTTCATTTTTAAAGTGTTAAGTAATCTTAAGGAGTAATACAAGTACACATATATGAAGGAGTAATACAAGTACACATATATTACTAAGACGAGGAGGAGGTCTGTGCATATGTTATATAAGAACATGCTTGGTCTTATGAATGGATACTTTTCTTCACTCAGGATTGTGTTAATCAGCCTTCTGTTACTATTACAAACACCTGAGATAATCACCTTATAAAGAGGAAAGGTTCATTTTGTCTCCCAGTTTGGAGATTTCCATGGTGACTTTAGGTCTGAGTAGCTCCTGGTGGGAGTGGATGGTGGAACAACCATACACCTAAGGTGCTAAGACATGGGAAATGGGGGAGGAGAAGTGAGCAGAAGACCTCTCATTAGGCTCTGGCTTTTCAAGTGTACACCACCCATGGGTAGCACAAAGTTGGGGACTGTGTCTCTGACACAGGGACCTTCATGAGCTGTGGCAGATTGAAACAACTCATCAGGGATTATCAGCAGCCAACATTCATGGACGTATTTTTGGTCCAGTCCAAGAGAAATGACTTCCTCAGCTGTTGAGGCTTGAGCTTACAACAGTATGGCTTGTTCTTCAGAAAATTGTTGTCCACAGGGATTTTTTTTGTCTTTTTAAAAAATTTTTATCTTCAGGAAACCCTAGATCTGACTAGTGGCATGCAGGCTATATATTATGTTAACATCCTGTCTTCTGGGACACATCTAGCATGTTTATTAGCTTTCGTAGACTCCTCTGGCAGCTGTCTTGTTTCTGTGTTCCCTTGAGTACTAACGGCTAGCCTGGTCACTCTGCTCCCTGGCCCTGCATCTCCAGAAGTGTTTGGGTAAGAGTCACTAACTTGGGACTATTATGTTTTTCTTCAATTTATGCAGGGAGGAGTCTAATAATAATAAATGAGACAAGACTCAAAACTTATAAATTATACTTTATAAGTTTTCTTCTCTGTGTTTAGCACCTTTTTCCATTTAGAAAATTCAGAAGCTTTTCATTTGTTGCCGCTTAGGCATAAAGAGAATGTCTGTGATAATCCAGTACATTTCAAGGGTAGTGTTTTGCTAACAGATGTGGGGATTAGAGGAATCAAGAAACGCCTCAGTCTGCAGCATCTCAGGCTGCAGAGAGAAGTTTGTTGGATTGGCTTGCTGTTGGCCCTCTCAGGAACCAAGGCACAAGGTTAGTGGGTACCGAAGACTAGTAAAGTCCATCAGTAAGATCTCTCCAGTGAAGAGCAAGTCGGGTGTTGCTGTCGACCTTACCTACTAGGGTGCTTAGTTCTTCCTCTAAGAGATAGATCCATATTTTTTATAGTCAGACCACATGGTTATAATATGAACCATAAGCATCTGCCCACAGTATTTGTGAAATTTTGGTAACTTATGAAATGGAACTTCTACACTTAATTATTATAATTAATTGATTAATTTTTAGTTCAACTCATCAGTGGTTTTGAATTCATATGTACCATGGATTATATGTCTTTTTTCTTGAGCAGTATGTAACATGGCATATTATATTGATGAGGCATTTAATAACATTTGGAATAATTTGTGGCAAAAGATTGTTGAACATTTCAGAAAAGATAAAATTTTGAGTGCCTTTCCCACCTATAATTCTTAGGTATAAGAACAAACAGATGCTTCTAAAATTGATGAAACATGTTTTAAAACACAATACCCTAGCACTAAAGATAAATTTGTCCATGCTTATTTAATTTTTAAATTAATTTTATTATTTAATTGTCATAAGATATAGCATATTTTTGTAGGCTTACCTCCAAAACTCTCCTGATAAGAAGCATTTTTTCTAATGAAGTTTACTAGTACATTTTAGATATACACAATGATCATATTAATCACAGGGAATTTGTACCTGTACATGATATGTTTTGATTCCTTTTTTTCCCAATCCCCTCTCTTCCCTTGAGCCCATTTTCCCCTCCCTATTTACAAATCTTTGTTTCCATTTTATCCTTTTTTAATCATTTTTCCTTTTCCCTTCCTTTCTTTCCCTTTTCCCCGACCCAAGTTCTTCTTTCCTTTCGAACAATTTCTTCCCATTTTGCAATATCTATTGTACATTTTAGTCTTTATTGACTCTTTCAGTTTCTCCCACTAAGGAGACAATGTAATGTTTATGCATGTGAGTCTGATTTATTTCACTTAAGAATATGGTCTCAAGTTGCACCCATTTACCTAGAAATGCCTCAAACCTATCCTTCTTTATGGCTGAGTAGCACACCATTATATATATATATATATAACCCCACATCTTCCTTATGTTAGCTGAAGATTTGCCCAGTTTTTCTGAGTATTCTTTAACCCTTCTTACTGCCTGTTATCTTTGCCTGGCTGCTTAGCGTCGGTAGAAGAAAGGCTATGAATGTACAGAAAAGCACACACACTTGTCTTAGGAGATGCAAGAGCAGACCTAGGGCGAGGCTTGCCATGGAAAATGTTTTTAAACAATAGATACATTTGTTTACCTTTATTGAAGAAGATCACATGTAAGTCATACAGGAGTCTTAGAAATAACACATACAAACTTATCTTTCAAATGATTACTAACTTGTTTCATTACCTCTAAGCTTGACCTTATAACTTTGACTCACACTACTAAATCAGTGAAGACAGGCCTAAAAATAGAAGTAGAACAGCACAATATTCTCAAATATTTCATTTCTCATTTATTTTATAACTTGTAACAACAAATCTTTTTTTATTTTAAAGATAAAAGAACGAAAACCTATTAACAAACACAGACAGACAAAGCAACACAAAAACAATAAAAGCAATACAGAATTTCAGACAAGGTGATAGGAAATTAATAATGGTTGTTGTGTTACATCTAGGATGAGGAAAAAGAGAAAAGAAAGAAAGAAGGGAAAAATATGTACATAGGTATACACAGCATAGCTAAGATAGCTGTACTACTGATTTCTATTGCTTTATTGAAAGGAACAGTTAGTGTTTAATTGTTTGATCAATCTTTCATGCCTAAATCTGTTTATCTGAGTAACCAATTTGAGCAACAAATCATTTAAAAGTAGTATCATAGAAGATTTTTTAGGAGAGGTTTTATGGTACTTTCTGGGAAAATAAGAAAATTAGGAACAATAAGAGTTGTTCAGCTCTTTGTTATAAAATTATGTATAATGTATGATTAAACTAAACACAGTTTAAACATGAAAGTTCTTGCTTTCAGGGCCTTGAAGTTCCTCAGGAACATGAGAACAAGTAATCACAATAGAGTATAATTCACAGCACTCAATCCAGGTGAAAATTTCAGTTGTATCCTTGAATATCTACAGGTCTTACACATTTTTATCACAGTAGAGGTGTAGGGAGGCCACATACAACTGCGTTCACTCTCCTAAAAATATTGAAGTTTACTTAACTTTCGTCTTTCTTCTCTTTGTATTTCTTACCTATGGTGAGGACTTTAATAATAAATAAAATTTCTTTCCACTTAATAGGGAAGGAAATAATAAGCAATGCATTCAAAGAAATTATGACAGTACTCAACCTTTCATGCTTTTCCTCTCTGGGGTAATCTTATTTTCTTGAATTGTGTACTTACACTGTGTACCATAAGCCTTTGGAATATTTTCTCCCAGCAGAGGAAAAAATCCAGAGGACGAAAGTCTTTGCGAGTCAGAAACTCAGGTTCAGCTCATCAAGTTTTGTTTACTCTCTCTGCTTCCATCCCATCTTGTTGGCTGCCTGAGAAATATGTACTGTAAGCATTTCTTCTGCAAGCTCCTGATCACATTCATGCTATCATTGGGCACACCGTGCGCTAACTGCATGGCAGACTGCAGGCTTATGCTCTATCATTTCACCTTCCCAGAAATCCCAGTACACTGAGGAGGAAATGGTGTTTCTGGCAGTGTAGATAGCTTACTCCAGGGTCCCTACATTGGTCACCAGAGAGCAGGCTTCTTTCTCAGTCACATATACAATCCTGCTGTTCTTGACCGTAGGCCTAAGCAGCCTTCCATTTGCATAGGAGTGGAAAGATGGAAGAAAATAATTGTATTGATGTTATAGTTGCCTTTATGCCAAACCAGTACCCCACCTGATGATTTTCCTGGTCTTTGAATCCTTTTCCCATGCTTATTGTCAGTTTGATAAATGGAAGGATGACCAGAGCTTTATGTTTTGCAAGAAACATCTTTTAATAGGAGGAAAAAAGAAGTTAGAATGGATTGTTTTATTTTCAAAATTACTTAAGCACATATATTCATTTGACCAAGGTTATTTGATGGTGAAGGTATATAGGGCTGTGAGTTGGATGACAAAATTATCCTGAAAAAATTAATGAACCACTTTATTCCTTAAAGATTAAATTAGCGTAGTATGGCAGATGTGGTGTATGCCTATAATCTCAGTATTCTGGGAGGCTGAGGCCGGAAAATTGCAAGTTGGAACCCAGCCTGGACAACTTAGTGACTTCACAACACCCTGTCTCAAAAGAAAGAAAGAAAGAGAAAAAGAAAAAGAGAGAGAAAGCAAGAGAGGGAGAGGAAAGAGAGAGAAAGCAAGAGAGGGAGGAGGAAAGAGATAGAAAGCCTTATTTACTGTGTCTGTTCTTCATAGGAAAACCATTATAAATTGCTTTAATCAACTCTCAATAATGCAAATAGCCAGTTATTAGGGTGAAATGTTGAATCACTGGTTTTTTGCAAGTCCCTAGGTTTGATTTCCAGAACCACAAACACAAAAATGTTGCTTTAAAATTGTTTGGCCTTTTAGAAAAGTTCTTACTGGGCATGGCTGAAAGGTGGCTGGGGTTGCCCATTTACTGCAGAAGGGCTAGCCAGCTCTCCCTGAGGGTAAAGCAATAACCGTCCTGCGGTGGAAAGCGTCTGTGTAAAAAGTCTCGGGCTTAGAAGTGTGTTGGTCCTCCTGGTGTCACGTGGCTTCTCAGTGTCCCCTGGTCCCTTTGCAGCGTGTTCTGGGATCTCTACTGCGCTGCTCCGGAGAGGCGGGAGACGTGTGAGCACTCGAGTGAAGCCAAGGCCTTCCACGACTACGTAAGTCACCTCCCGCGCGGCGCAGCTGCCTCTGTAACCACTGCTTCTGAAAAATGCCCCAGTTGTCTCTTTTTTTTGTTTTGGCCCTTAGTGAATTGGTTCTTCTTCTCCTTTTTTTTTTCCTTGCAAACTGGGCTCATGTATAGAAGTGAAATGCCAGGGTGGGCCGGTCTGACCAAACACTCGGAGGGTATTTCTACGTGTCTGACTTGTGAGATTCCAGATTTGAAAAAGTGAAGTAGTCGTTCATTACTGTCCAAAGAGATCTGCCGCAAGATGTCTAGAAATATGATATGCTCTTCTTTTGAAGATTTTCAAAAGATTTCTTATCTTCTATGAGATTTTTTTAAATGTAGAAATATTTTATTCTCTTTTTATATCTTTTGGTTATATAGCGTAAGACTACATATTGTATCTTCTCCACAGAATGCAGTTCCACAGATGAAATTGATCATGGATTAACGGAACTATTAGACAATAGTGCAGAAGATTCAAAGCAAAAATAAAAATGTGAATTTATTTTTTCTTGAATCCTGAAGGAAGGGCAGACTTTGGCTTAAACGTTTTTCAAAACTGCAAGTCTGATTTTAGGTAGCTGATTATATCTGGAAGTAGAATGGGAAAAAAGAAACAAAACGAGGAAAATTTTCTTTAGGGAAAAATTTCATATGAGAATGAGGAGATGGTACCATGAAGGACCTGGGAAAAAAACTATAAAGCTGGAGGAAATGGAGGAAATCCATCTCTGAAAGTAGAATCAGGTCTGGAGCTTGAGGAAGTATCTTGTAGCAAGATCCTCAAGCAACCACAGGGATACTTGTCAGTTGTGGGAGGAGGGCATCCTTCTGTGCAGAAATCCTTACAAACCAGAACTAGGCTCAAAAGGGAGACAGACCTTGTTCTTCTAGAAAATGATTGGGTCTCAGAGTGAAGAACAGAACTGTAACTCTCACAGTAGCACAAGAAAGAGTGTGCAGACTTACGGTGTGCAGATGGTGGGCACTGTGTAACTCCTGAAGGTGGACAGACTGGTTAGTCGCGGTGCCCTCCTCGGATATCGAGCACCCTTCTCAGCTTAGTGTGTACCGAACACAGCTCTTGGGTACAGAGAGGGAAAAGGTCACCACCACACACCAAGAGCTATCAGTCACCACCTATCAGCCAGATAGGGCTGGACCAGGGCACAGTGTTTATCTGAACAAGCTTGCTTCTATTTTTTTTCACCCTTGGTTCATGGCAGGAAGTAAAGCAGAGACTGGATTTAATGGGCACCCCATCTCATCTGTCCCTTAGACCAGACAGCCATGCTGGCATCTGGCCTCTCAGTCATGGGAGAAGTTGTTTGTTGATGTACCTCCTCATTTTGACAACCAGCTGGCGTGAGATGGGGCTGGTGGTGTATTCCTGAAGGAGATATAGTGTTGGACAGTCTGCAGGTCAAGGATTAATTACATAGACACTTTACAATTCCATTCCTTAGAAAAGTGCACACTGCTGCTCACGTGGAGCCCTGGTGGGCAGCGCTGAGGTAACTCAGCAGCTCTTTCAGAAACGTGAGCTAACTCATCACCACGTTGTCGTGGCCTCTCCCGTCGCCAGCTGCACACTCAGCAGCGCTTGCAGTTCCGAGAGTGTGCACAGGGATGAGGTTGACTCTCTGAGCATGTTTGAAGATGAACATTGACCAGAGGTAGGAATCAGCTGATTCCAAAGGAGGAGCATCCTTTCACCGTGTAACTTGGTCCTAAGAAAATGTTGTTTGGAGAAAAGTTGAGCACTTGGATTTTATAATACATTATGAATAGTCGCACATTTTATTGTGTGTTAAATTTTATCTTAAATTTTAGTGCTAATAGAGTCAATTTATTCTTAGGTAGCATTTTTATTACATCTTTAAGCCAATGGCTTTTCAGGGGTAATGCCTCTCTGACTTTTTAAAATTGGAGGATGGTAGAAGGATGGAATTTGATTTCTCTAATTTTATATTAAAATTGGTTTTTTTGAAATATATTTGTTTTCTGTTGCTCACTTTTATAGTAACTTTCAGGAGGATTTCCTGCATTCTTAATAATGGACAGTTTCTGAAAATGATGAATATAACTAATGTGTTCTAATGAATATACTAATGAGTACTAATGAATAACTAATATATCTAATGTGTAAATAGAGACATTTAAAGGACTTGGGGAAGAAAATAGGGAAGATAGGAATAAGCAGTAAGATTTTGGTAAAATTCGGTCCATTACAGAATCATTCCTGTGATGGGTATTACTATGTTGACCAACCAAATGTAATGTACTTCTTAAGGAAGTATTCTGAAAAACACTGTCTTCAGCAGTTGCAGTTTGGGGAATATTCACTTTCACTTGTATGTATAAATCTCAATATGTTTAAAAATTACTGTTGTGATTTTGTATGTAGTTAGTTACCTCTTACATGATTGAATGTATAAATATGTATAATGACAAAGTAGTTTTTAAGAGATATATTGGAAAGCATAATGAGATAAAAAGAATAATGTTTTTAATTAAAAATGCAGTCTAACATGTTAAAGTGACTATCTTAGTATTTGGCTTATGTATGATTTTTATTTTTATCTATGTAATTTATATAATTTTCAGCTATCTATAATTGATATTAATTTTATATTCAGGAAAGTTACTTTAAAATAGATTCTTTTCACCTTTTGAAGAGTTCTGATTTTTCTTCTGAAATTGGAAAATAAAAAGTTTAGCAAACTGAACTTTAAATTTGAAGTGGGTGGTGGGTTTTTCCTGCAACCGTGCCATATACTTAGGCATTTAACCCTTCTCATCAAAGATGGTGTGTTGGTTTTTGCATGAGGACTGACTGAAGCGCATCTCTAAACTAGAGAGATGTCTCAACTCAATTCTAAGCACTCTGTATTTTATTTTTAACCACCTATTGAAGCGTTACTGGCATGGGAAGGCTGTAGAAAGGGAGTGTACAGCTTGATGTGTTTGCAGATAAGACTGTACCCATGAACCACTCTCACATTCAGCACCATAATTTATCTGTCACCTCTCGGCTATCTGCTTTCCTCGTGTTTTGTTTTCTTTTTCCAATAAGAACACTTAACATGAGATATCTTCTTAGCAACATCTGAAGTATGCAGTAGGTATTATAATCACAGGCCCTGTGTTGCACAGGGGATGTTTGGGATGTATTTGTTACATGATTGAATTTTGTACTCTTTGACCAACGCCTGCCATTTCTCCCTCCCTTCAGCCTCTGGCAACTCACCAGAGTTTTACCTCCTGCTTCTGTGAATCTGGCTTTTTTAGATCCCACATAAACTGAAATCAGGCGGTATTTGTTCTGTGACTGGCTTATTTTATTTAATAGTGTCCTCTGTGTTTGCCTTTGTTATCAGAAATGGCAGGATTTCCTTCCTGTTTATGACTGACTTCTACTCTGTCACATTTTCTTTATCCATTTATGCACTGACAGACATTTAGATTGATTCTAGATCTTGGCTATGGTGAGTAATGTTGTAATGAATATGGGAATGTAGGTATTTGTTGGCGATTCAGTTTCTTTGGATTGATACCCAGCAATGGGATTGCTGGAACAAATGGTAAATTGATTTTTCCATCTTTCAAGGAACTGCTACACTGTTTTCTATAGTGGTGGTACCAATTTACATTCACACTGACCATGTACAAAATCCTCGCAAAATTTATTCTCCACTCTATGATTTTAATAACTGTTTTTATAATTGCCATTCCAGATATATATTTGGCTTTTGTTAATTTTGGAATGTTTTTCCTGATCACTGTCTGCTAGCACATAGGTTTTTGTCACTTTATTATTTAACTTGCCAAATGATTGTATATGCAGTGTTAATATCTTTTCCTCAAAGGAAATCACCCTGTGCACATACTGTAAGAGAAAAAGAAAACACATTTAAGAGAAGTGAAATACATGTAAGAAAGTGATCATTTTCTTGCATTTATATTTTAAAGTATAGGATGTTAAATATTTAGCATTTATGTGCAATGCTAAATATAAAATAAAAGAAAGTACACTTAGAAACAAACCATGTACTATAGTTTATATGGATGCATTCTTTAAAGACAAAGGTATAAATTTCACCAGGAAATGATTTACAAGTCAGACTCATGGTTATTTTGGTGGTGGAAACAATTTCTGAGGCATTTTTGTGATGGTGGTAAAGTTCTCCTTTCCTCAACCCTGGTACTAGTTACAAGCATGTTTGCTTTATAATAGAATGCCATAAGTATAGCTCGTGTATCTTTCTATATTTACATATACGTATATTTTTATTTTAACACGATTCTCAAAACTATAGTTAAGATAATTAGCTTTGGGAAAATCATGTGCACCGTCATTTTTAGTACGTGGGTTTCCTGGCATTGCTATGGTTTGTCTTTTGAGAACTGGTGGCAGGAAATGTAGTGATGATTCAGAGCAAAGCTGGGTGTTTCCTCTCTGCCTCAACACATTAGGAAGGATGTCTACCTATTGATTTTCTAGAGGACAGTAGAGAAGAAGATCAGGAGTGTGGAGGAAAAGATTAATAATTAGGAGTCGATGTTACAGGAGAAGATAGAGATTTTACTAGAGAATGAGTGTTTTGCCACATGGTAGGAAAGAGCTAGCTTGGCCCTGTTGTTTCCAAGCTGAATTAAAAATCTGAGCTACAAAATTATTATTATATGTTATTAGTAAAAACAAAATCATTGTAAAAATAGTACCTATTAGCTTGTGAAGTTTATTGGGCTACATTTTATTTTCTTTCCATTAGTGTGTTTTTTTATCTGACTCTGAAATCATAAGCAGTATTTTTATCTGGAGTGACTGTTTACTGGGTTTTTTGGTTTGTTTTGCTACAGCTTAATATATAATTGCTTTACTTAACAATTCATTTATTTCCAAAATATTATAATATTAAACTCTTAATGAAAAAGAATTGCCATGATTATATTTTGAGTTCTTTTGTGTGAATGGAAGATTGC